CATTCGGATCCCATGTGGAAGATCTCTAAGAGCACCCCTTACGAGGTCCAGACGGCCACAAAGGGCTTCAGATTGTAGCGACAAGCTGGGGGCACCCTTATGATTCCCTGAGGGTACGTTTTTTTTTTGTCTCTCTCTCTCTCTCTCTCTCTCTTGGGGGGCCCTCTGGGGGGACCCTCCTTCGTGGCAGAGGAGGGGTGGAGAGGGGGGTGGGCAAGCTAGGTGCGCTCGCGCACCATCTGACATACGATCCCCCCGTCTCATCCATTCCCATTGCGCTGAATTGTCTTCATCCGCGGACGCGTGTCATAGCCGACCTGCAACTCCAGCCCAACGAGCACATCGTGTTATGCGCAGCCGGAGACCGGGGAAACTGCGCGCACAGAGTGAGGAGGAGGAGGTGGCGGGTGAACAGGAGGATGAGCGGGAGAAAAAGGACGAGGACGGACAGCAGCAGTAGCAGCAGCAGCAGGAATTGGAGTGGAAAGAGCGTGAGGAACAGGAGGACCAGAGGAATGCGGAGGAGGGGAACTGAGGGGGGTGACAATCATAGGATCCAGAAAAGTGGCACGCGCTGGGGCGAGAACGCAATTCTGAACAACGGGAGCAAAGCGCCGATGCGAAAATGAGGCCAGCGCTGCAGCGGGAGCACCAGCATCAAACTGACACACCGGAAGCAGTCCGATTGTAAACAAATGTTTGAAAGCAAGACGATATGTTTCAGCTCCTGCGTGTAAGCAACATTTCACGCGGAGAGCGACCGCCATCTTCCGTACGGAGACAGGCGGAAGAGGAGAGTAGTAGTCATATTGTTTTATTGTAGAGCGGAGAGGGGTGAAGGGGGGTGGGGGGAGAGAGGCGGGGAAAGGGAGGGGAGGGGAGAGGGGAGGGGAGAGGGGAGAGTGGAGGGGGGAGGGGCATGGGCGAAAGGGGAGAGGGTCCCCTCAGGGAGCCCCTGGGAGACCCTACAGGGCACCCTGGGCCAGGGGCACCTCCAGCAGCCACCCCCCGAACGCGATGGGCCGGAGGATGGCCGGGCGCAGGGTCCGCCGCGCGACGGGCGCCGCCGCCTTGGCCGGCGCGGCGTGCGGCGCGGCGCGATGCGGCGCCGGAGGGGTCGTCGCCGTCTCTTGGGCGTCGCGTAATGGGGTCGCGATTATAAATGGGGGTGGCACAACTCTAGGCCTCTTAGATGGGATCGGAGTAGATGGGGTCGGAGGATCGTGCAGCAATGCCGATTTATCGGCGATGCGGCTCGATGTGGGGCCCAAATTTTCTCCACGCCGACGTCGCCGATGTATCGCCGACGTCGCCAGTGCATGGCCGACGCATCGCCGATGCATCGGCGATGCATCGCCGATGTATCGGCGATGCGGCGAGATGCCATGAAAACCACGACAGGAGGGTTTTCGCTATTTTTGGCCTCGGGGGGCCCTCGCCGGGCCTCGGGGCCGCCGAAAAGCGACGCGGGATGAAAAACTGGTCCCCGGGGGACTGGGTCGAGGCCTTCAGGGCCGTCGGGGGTCTGGGAATGGGGGGGGCACAACGGCCCCAGAGGGGGTGGGCGCGATAAATGGGAGCGTAGGTGGGGGCACGACACATGACGACCGCCACATACCCCCGCCCCCCCTCCGCCTCTTCCTCACGCGAGGTCCTGGCGACCTCCCCCGCGCGCCTGCGGGTGCGCGCCACCGTGCCTGGAAGATTCGAGGGTGGTCCTGGCCTGGGGGTGCCCCCCCCCCCGGCATTCCGCGCCGCCTGCCGGCGTGATAAATTCAGGGCTTGCTGAAGGTGTCCCTGGCCCTGGCCCAAGGTGCCCCTAGCTTTTCGCTTCATTTTTGAGCTCCTGGGGTCCTCTGAGCCTCGTGAGGGCTGCTCTGGAGGCCTTGGTGGCCTCCCTGGAGACACTGGGGGTACGTTGAGCCAGGGACACTTCTAGCAATACCCGATAAATATGATGGCAGCGAGGGCTGCAGAAAAGGGGCCCCCCTCAAGGAGCCCTTTGGGAACAAAGGGGGACCTCTAGGGCCCGAGAAGGGCACCTTTAAGCGACGCCCAGGCCGCCGTCGATCGCCGGTCCTCGAGATCGTCACGGCAGGAAGAGATCGGGTGGGGCTAGGAGGCTCGAGATTGTCATGAAGGGTCAGCGCCGATCAATCGGCGATCTTTTGCTGATTCCGGCTCGATACTTCTCCATCTGAGTTTATCCCCTTCCCCTTTATTTGTAGTTCTTCCACCGATCGAACTTTTGCATGAGGCAATTCTAAGCGCAGTGTGTCGGGCGGGCCAAGGACGAGGATAGATTTGCTCCAGATCTTTCAGGAACGCTCTCAGAGCGTTCCAGAGCAATATGAGAAGGCCGCGGCGCCCGAGACATCCTCGAGAGCCTCCAGATCTCAGATGTTCTCGATTTGTCCTCGTCCTGGCTTCGTCTTACAAGACACCTCGACTACATGTTGCGGTGACCTTTCGCCGGAGTGACCTCTGGTGCGAGCCCAGTGGGGCCCCCGATCGTTGACTGCGATGCGATCTAGCAGCCTGGTGTTGTCCCTCGAGCGACCACCCCCTTTAACCAGACCCTCGACGTCATGATTTTTGTCAGAACGTCGACCCCCAAGGGTCTCGACCCATTCCCCAGGACCAGTTTTTCTTCCCGAGTCGTTTGTTTGATTGTCTCGAGGCCCAGTAAGGGCTCCCAGAGGCCGAAGACGGGGATAAACCTCTCGTCGTGATTTCTGTCGTGACTCGAGGGGGAGTCTGAGTACGCCGCGCACCCAAGGTTATTCTTGCCTGAGGTCACTCTTGCACGTATATGAGTGTTGGATTCCGAGACAACCCGCACAGTAAGGATGAGCAATTTTGCAAGGTTGCCCTTGCATCCTTCCCCTTCGGCCCCTTCTTGGCCGCTTTCGCTGGCTGGCCGCGCCCAGCTCGCAAAGTGTCGACATGGCCTTCCAAGGCCATTGCATCCTTGTCGTGCGTCCTCATTCTACGGGTTGACTGTATACGGGGATGCATGATCTCAAAGCGTGCCAGAGGACTTTCAGAGCGTCCATGAGCGTTTTAGATCGGGCGAAGGGAAGTTTGACGAACGAGCAAAACGCACCCGTACCCATAAGTGGGACGGAGGGGGCTATGTGTGCATGTTGTCGGATGGGGGTCCCTGCTTGAAGAGCAGCGTCCCCCGAGGTCAGGCAACCCGCACCCATACCAAAATCGAGACCCCCCTCCATCCGACCCCCCTATGAGTATGGTTGCGTGTTGTTCGTTCGTCAAAGTCTGTGCATGTACCAGTCCTGGACAGGCCAATCCTGGGCCCAGGATGGGTGCATATGCCTTCCTGGCCAAGGCAGGGGGGCGTATGCATCGATCCTGGACTCAAGGCTCGGCCTGGCCAGAATTGGTGTCTGTGCATCGTTATATTTCCTTGATCGGAACTGCCGCGGCGCCCGATATATCTTCCAGAACCGCTGGAACTCAGAGATCACGGGTTTGTCCCAGTCCGATGCTGCCCCCGCAGTCTCGGCGGTTCGTCTTACGATGCCAGTTTGAAATTGTATTTGGCATCACCTCACCTCGATGTCGATCTTAAGGGTACTCTCAGTTTCTGAGGGCACATCCCTAAGATTGTCCTCGCTTCTTGCTCGCCCGTCTTAGGGAAGGGGATAAGCTCGAGGCTGGTTACTCGGAGAGTTGGATCGTCCCCACGGCGGGACGGTCCTGGAACTTCTGCAGTCGGAGAGCACCCCCCCGCAGCGGTCTGGGGAGCGGCGCAATCGGTGCCTGTCTGTCCCCCAGACTGTTGCACAGTCTTGCGTGGTCTTCGAAGCTCTCCTGCGGTTGTCGGAGACCCTTGGAGGCTCCCTGCGGGTCGTCGTCGCCAACGTCGCCCCCTGGTCGGACAACAATATTATCGCAACGTCTCAGGGGGCAGGCGGGGGGCCAGCGGAGCTGACTATGACAACTCGGTCTCAGTCAGCGGGACGTGCAGCAACGCCGCGAAGCGGCCTATAGGAAGTACATTTTCAACCACACGCTGCACGAGGGCCCCAATGGGCCAAAGATATAATGTAATTCATCGGGAGGCCGATTGAGATGTGTATAACCTCAACCAAATCACAACAATCATCAAAAACTCGAGTTGCGATCGGCTTCAGAATATTCTCATTCCCACGTGTCGTGAGAGCAGGGCTGGGTAAAGCGTTCAAGGGGGGGAAAGCTTGAGCGGACACGAAAGACAGGCAGGGCAGGAGGAGGAATAGGACCTGCACTGCTATCTTACACGGCCCACCCCTACCACACCACCCCGAGACGCGATCAATTAAGTTTGGAAAACGATCATTATCGCAACGTCTCAGGGGGCAGGTGGGGGGCCAGCGGAGCTGACTATGACAACTCGGTCTCAGTCAGCGGGACGTGCAGCAACGCCGCGAAGCGGCCTATAGGAAGTACATTTTCACATTTTCAACCACACGCTGCACGAGGGCCCCAATGGGCCAAAGATATAATGTAATTCATCGGGAGGCCGATTGAGATGTGTATAACCTCAACCAAATCACAACAATCATCAAAACTCGAGTTGCGATCGGCTTCAGAATATTCTCATTCCCACTCCCGCATCTGATGTGCCTGGCGTAGCCGAAATACTTCAGGTTGTAGTCCGGGGTGGGCGGGTGGGGACCACAACATTCTCATCATGCGATCGGCCAAGAGCACATCGGGGTGGTGGTCGCGCCCGTAGGCCACACACCTCTAGGGAGCCCTCGTATGGCGCCCCTAGCCGCCCACTCGGGCGCCCCCGCTTGGCCTGTCGCTTCACTCTCTCCACCATCCAGTTGTCACGAACTCCGTGGCGACCTCTTTCACCTTCTTCATCTTCAAGTTCGTCTTGTTGCTGTCGACCAGCTGCCTCTGCTGCTTGCTGTAGTTGGTGCGAGGCCCCCACAGCTCGGGAAGTCTCGGCATCCTGGCCGTCCCAACTGATGTCAGCCTCGTGCGGCCTTGCCCTATCCTGCTCCTGCCCGTAGACGTCGTACTGCCTGAGGGTCCCGATGGCTTCGTCCAGGAGCCCCCCTTTCAGAACGTAAGCGGCGATGGCGAAGACGGCCTCCTCCGGCCACTGGCCTCCCTCTACAGGGACGACCAACCTCTTACAACTCTTTAAGCTTCGCAAGGCCAAGGGGAGCTGGCTCTTCAGCTCAGGCCAACTCCCCAGTCGCCCTGACAGGAAGATCGACCCCCAGGTGGGGCGGAGTCGGTCTCGGTAGCACTTCATGTCCCTGCAGTCGGCCAGGGCGTGGCCCATGGCGCTCGTGCACCGAAGCTCCCAACCCTTGTCGACGCGGTAGCTGAGAGTGTCCTGCACCTTCGGGGCCCACTCTACCGTGATCACGTCCGCCACGGAGCGGGTGAATCGCCTTGTGGATCCGCCCTCGCGGATGCCCAGGTACGTCTCCTTCTCGTAGTTGTCCCACTCCTGCGGCCCCCGCCTCTGCAGGGGAACGTCTCCTACCGTGTGCGGCTTCTGGCGCATCGCTCCGACGGGGTGGGTTGCCTCCAATGCCAGGGCAGCGAGCCACCATCGTATCCCGTACCCGTGTGGCCCAGGTCGCGTAGATTGTGAGGTCGGCTGTCCGTCGGAGCGGGGTGTCGGTCGCAGTGGGCTGCCACCGTCTCGGGCGCTGTTCCCAGGGGGCGTCCTGGAGAGAGGCCTTCGGCGATGTTCAGCTCCAGCGGGACGTAGCGGTAGTGCCCGTGGCCCAGGCGTAACAGGGCTGATGAGCTCTGATGGCCCTCGCCTGGGGCTCCCTGGGCGACCATGCCGCTGGCGAAGCTCAGGACCTTCAGCGTCCGCCTCCGTGGCGATCTGGCAAGGTGTCGGAGCACGCCCACCACGGTCCGCATCTCGCTGGTGTTCGTGTGCTCCGTGCTTCTTCCCCTTCCGACGTAGAGTGGCCGCCATCTCGCAGGTGGCATCCAAGCAGGGGACAGCGGGGGGGACCTCGATCTCCGCCCCTCCCGGCCCCGGCGGCCCGAATGGCGTCGTAGATGTGGAGGCCCACGAGCACGCTGGATCGGGGCCCTTTATCTCCTTCGTCATGCGGGCCAACGCCTCGAGGATCGCCCTCCCTCGCGCGGCGCACCGCGGGGGCTGGAAAGCCTGGGCGGAGGCGGTGCACATGTCGGGGCGGCCCCGCTCCACTCGCCCCTCGAATATCGCTGGATGCCTCCCTCGGTGGTTGCCTCTCGGGCGGAGACGGCCCGCGGCGAGGTCCAGTGCGTCGTCGTAGACCCCGAAGATGCCCTTCATGGTCGACTCCATCGGCGAAGCTCCGTAGCGGCCCTGGTCGATCTGATGGATCTGGCCGCCCGCCTCCTCGCAGAGGCAGGCCATATCGGGGGGGTTCCCGATGGACGTGTACAGGTCCTCCTCTGGGTCCGCGGGGTGATCTGTCAAGCACAGGCCACCAGTTCGGCAAACCTCGTGGACCGCCTGCATGGCCGTGAGCAGGTGGCGCGACCCAAGGTCCAGGCGGATGTGCTCGAAGGTGGTGAGTAGTATGTCGCTCCGCCCCCAAGGCTCGAGGCGCGTCCGCGGGGGCCTGGGCCTCTCTTTCAGGAGGCATGCTCGACTCCAGGTAGAACATGGCGGCGGGGCAATCACTGCGTGGGAGTGCCCGTCGCGCGTCTGACCCAGAATCGCGCTGACCAGCTTGTCGTTGGGGCGGTCGTGCTTCGGCTCGATCACCGAGCCGATGGACCAGACCTGGATCTCGTAGCCGTCGCACTCCGCCCGCGCGTAGATGGCCTCCTCCAGATCTCCCTCTCGGCGCCTGCCCGCGAAGAGGTAGAACGCCTGGTTGATCCTCCGGCTGACCCGCGGCGGAGGTGTAGCCGACGGGTCGGCGAGCTCGCCCACGTAGTTGGTGCACCCCCCAACGTGGGGGACCCAGACGTCGGTGGCGATCGTCCACCCTCTCATCTCGGTGTAGCCCGTGGCCGTCCTGACCTCCTCCAGCGAGGCCTCGGTGACTGCGACCCCGTGGCCATTGTCCTTGGAGTCCGTCACACCCGTCATGGACACCTGCGAGAGCCAGGGCGCCTCGAGATCCGTGTGCTTGAGCGTGGTGCAGTAGGCCAACGTCGTCAGCCCCCCCCCCCTCGCCGCGTCTGGTAGGCAGAACGGCGTCCTGGCAGCCGCTGGGTGCCTCATCTCGCGGTAGACACGGTCGCGGATGGCGAGGCCCACGCGCTGAGAGACGGCCGCCCACGCCCACAGCTTCACGGTGGCTCCGGGGTCCAGAAGGTTCGCACCGCCAGCCCCAGCGCCGCCAGAGCCAGGCCACACGTGCGATCGATCTGGGCCGAGACAGTGTAAGGTCGGCCTCGAATGACCACATCCCACGACTCGATCCCCTCGCCTTCTCTCTCCTGGTGGACGGGGAGCCCGACCTTCCCCAAGTAGTACTTGACTCGGGCCGTCAGCTTCCTCATGACCTCGCTCACTGGCTGCCGCCCGCTGGCGTACGAGGCCACGACCGCGTAGTCGTCCATGTACGCCCAGCTCCCTGACTCGAGATCGACGGGCCCGATCAACTGGTGCGTCGGAGCTCCGTAGACCAGGCGCGCATCCCCGGTTCCCGCCCAGAGCCTGCGCGCCGTGAGAGCCTTCGGCCTGGAATGGGCCAGAGGCAGGAGCCACGGTCGGCCCTTGACCGAGACCTTCACCGCCAGGAGGGGCCCGCCATAGGGGATGACGTAGCCCTGCCTGGCGGTCCTCATGTAGTCGAAGAACTCGTGGAGGGGCAGCCCCCCCAAGACAAAGTAGAGCCAGACATCGGGCAGCGTCTCGAAGCGGTCGAACCTGTCGGGGATATCGACCACCCCTGTGTAGACCACGTCCGCCTCGCCGAGGTTGGAGAGGTCCAGGTCGGTCGGGGTCGCGGAGCTGCCCAGGGGCCCGTGCCTGGGCGTCTGCCAGCGGAGGTTGGCCCGCCTCCAGTCCCAGATGGCGCGGACCTTGCGCCTGACGGGGCCGAGGGGGTCCGCCTCCTCCCGCTAGCACTTCTGGATGACCCCGAAGAGCGGCATGCCCTCGACCAGCTTGTCGGTGGTCTCCAGCATCCCTGCCTCCCAGGGCTTCTCGACCAGATTGGGAGGAAATGTCCTCGATCGGAAAGACGAATCTCGGTGGAACTTTTGGCCCCTCAGCTCCCCGTCCATGGCGGGGTGGGGCTGGCGTGGCATCCTTCCCGCACCGTCGGAGAGGTCCTCGGTGGCGAGCGGGCAGATGTCCACGGTCCTGGCAGGGCTGGTCTCTGGTGGCGGGCGAGCAGACTCCCCCGCGTCGACGGAGACCACCACGCTCTTCGGTAGCATCTCTCATCCCTTTGAATCCTTTCCCAGGGCAGCAAAAGCCCCTTCGCCTGAGCACGGCGAGGCCCGATCGGCCGTGACGCGCCAAAGGGCAGCGTCCTCGTCCACCTTGATCGCGGCCACCTGGCTGCCCCAAGCTAGCCACGCCTCCAGGAGCGTCCTCGAAGTAGCCCTCTGGAGCGGTGTCGCCCGCTCCCACGTGGCCGACGGCCCAACGCCCTCGTCCGCTCTGGCCCTGCCCCGACATGGGTAGGGCATGGATCGGAGCAGCCCGTCGGCGCGAGCTCACACACGTCGTAGTGCGCCTTGATGCGTCGGCCCCGCGCGGTCCGCCACCACCAACCAGGGCAGCAGCGGTCAGCCCGGCAGAGGGTCTCGGTCTCGAGGAACGGCTTCGGGCGGAACGCCCGCGGCTGCTGTCGAGGTAGACGATGGAGAAGCGTGTGGATGGAGAAAAACGGGCGTGTCGTCGCCTCCCGAGGGATGCGGTGTCACGCGAAAATATCGTCGCGACCAGCACGAGCACCACCACAGCTATCGGGAGAGTGAGCCCACAAGAGTGGCCGCCGTCAGAGCGGACGGAACGGTAAACCGCCAGCCTCTCCCTCAAGTGCGGGGGGCCCCGCAGGGCTCCACGGACGGGGGAGACCATTCCCCCGTCTGCTCGTCCTCCTCCGTAGCTGCGTCCGAGCCCTCCATCTGCGGATACGTATGTTGAAGAACCCTCTGCTGCAGCCTGGCCGTCAAGTAGCGCTCCATTCTCGTGAGCGCCTCCTCGCCCTCCGTGAGAGACCTCCAGTCCAGCTCGTCCGTGAGGTCCCAGCGCACCCTGAACATCCACTTGTCGGCCCCGCTGTCCCGAGGCTGCTTCCCGTCGATGATGCCTGCCGCGTCCTCGAACGCCCGCATCGGCGCGTAGACTCGGGCGCACAGGGTCTCGTACCTCGCCGTCTGGGTGATCTCGGGCGAGGCCTCCGACCTCCGATCCAGCTTCATGCAGTGCAGCCTCCTCTGGTGGCCGAGGTGGTCGCGACTCGGGTAACTGGGGCGAACCCAGTCCGTCGCGAACTTGCCCAAGCTGGCGTCCGTCCCGTAGGTCTTGAACAGCAGCTCTGGCGCCACGTAGGAGGTGAGGCCCGCGAGGCGGGCGGCGGCGGGCAGCGCATCGATCTTCCCGAGGTCGGCCAGCGCCTGCTCCCTGGGGCCCCCGCCTACCTCCATCAACGGCTCGGGGCTCCCCCCCGCGCCCAGCAGCGTCTCCGCTGTCCCCAGGTCGATGGAAGGACACGCCGCAGCACCCGGCGTGGCCGCCGTGGGCGACGCGGCCTGCGCGGGCTGGCATCCCTGCGAGGCCTTGTCCGCATTGCTCGTGTCCTCGAAATTCTTCAACCAGTCGATCATCCTGTCTACATGCCGGTCCAGGCGGGGCTCGGTCGCGCCACGGGGTCATCATTTCCCGCTGGCGTGACTGCTCTCTCCAGGGGACGTTGCCGACGAGGTGCTCTGACTCGTGCGGGCACGACGCGACCCCGACCGTGGACGGATGATCTCGTCGAACAGGCTGCTCCCCGTGGCTGGCGTCTCCTGCGTGCCCTTGGCTGGCACCGACTCGTCCGACGAACCCGCCTGGGAGAGGCCCGCCTCCCCGTCGCTGTCCCTGGAGATCCCTGGAGGCGTTTCCCCCTCTAGCCGTTGCGATGGCATCTGTTGGCAGCAACTCCAGAGACCTGGCCTGAGGGCCACCGACGCGGTGAGGATCATGATGGGAGTTTCGAGCCTGCCGCCTAGGTAGAGGTCGCGATAGCCGCCTCGGACGTCGTCGGCTACGAGAAGCGAGTGGTGGCCATCCTCGAGCTCCTCCATCACCCATCGCATCCACCGCCACAGGTTGCCAGAGATGGCCACTCCTCCGGAGACGATGGCGAAACCCACCGTCGGCCCCCAGCTCCATGTACTCCACGCGCCAGCCAGCCCAGAGCGAAACCAGGACAAGGAGGCCACATAGCCATGAGCGCTGGACAGATACAGCTCGGCCTCGAGCGGCCTCTCCCGGGCCTTCTCCAGGACGCCCGTCCTCTCGCTGGCCGCGGGGGCAGGGAAGGAAACGTAGTCCCAGCCAGGCCGCCGACGACTCGACCGCTTCGTCCGATCCTTGATGCCGCCCACCAAGATGGCGTGGTCCAGCTTCACGTAGATCCAACTGGGGTCGTTCTTCTTCTTCTTCGGGTACATCCGCACTTGCCCCCGTCACGGGGCCATCGTCCGATAGAAGGGGCTCCATCGTATCACGCGACACATGCGAACCCGCCGATAGTCGTGGAAGCTCAGCCGCTCCGACTCTCTCGTGTCCTTCTGGGACGCGTCGTCCTCGGGCTCCACCAGCGGCCTCGAGAGGGGCGCGTCGAGGACCCCCCAGTCCCCGATGTACGAGAGCAAGGCAGCGTTGGCGACCCACCACCGCCTCGCCGTGGTGCCGACGATCAGCGCCCGCGCCGTGAGCGCCCCAACTGGTGGGGCGGAGATGCGAGCGCGAGCTCCTGGCCCGAGAGACCTCGAGCCAGAAAAAGCTTGAGCGGACACGAAAGACAGGCAGGGCAGGAGGAGGAATAGGACCTGCACTGCTATCTTACACGGCCCACCCCTACCACACCACCCCGAGACGCGATCAATTAAGTTTGGAAAACGATCATTTGCTGGCTGGGCGCCGGGGCACGCTCCGCCGCTCCGTCCCTTCGTCTGCTCTTCCCCTCTCCGTGCTAGTCCTCCTCCTCCTCCTCCTCGTCCTCCTCCTCCTACTCCTCCCTTTCCCTGCTTTTTTCCTTGTTTCTGTAATCATTTTTTGTTTGGGGGGATGGCAGAGGATGCAGCACCTGGGAGGGGGAACTGGGAGGCGCGTGGAGGAGGAGGAGGAGGAGGAGGAGGAGGAGGAGGAGGAGGAGGAGAAGGAGAACTCCACCCTCCTCTTCCTCCTCACCATCCCCCCGTCCTCCTCTCCCCCCTCGTTCTGCACCTCCTTCTTTTTCCACCACTTGCTCCTGCCCCTGCGTCCTTATTTCCCATCTCCCCGAGCTGATCATCACCTGACAACGGCGACGCGCCGCTGCTCTGTCGAGATCCGCACTCTCCCTCGGTGTTGAGACGGATGTTCTGCCGCGCAAGCCAGCGATTGCCACGACCTGCAAGTTGGGAGCCCATTGGCCGGTGTGCGGAAGGTGCAGCCGAATCCGGGCACATTCCAGCCGCAATCCGCGAAAGGAGGGACGGTGTGCTCGAAGCTTCCCCTCCAAACCCGAGCGTTGCCGTGGGCTTCACAGGCGCGATCTGGGTCGCAGTCATGCGACTTTTGGTCGCGCAATATGGTGAACAGTCATTCTGGCTATTAGAGGAGCGTTCCCGAGTTCTTCGTCGTGGCGCTTCGCCTCAACGGAGTGGAGTCCGTGGTGCTCAGGGTGGAGTCTTGCTTTGACCTGACCTCGCCATGGCGTCCACTCCACTCCAGCCCCCTCGCGAGATGCTCCACGTGGTGGCGATACAAAGGTGCTGCGTTTGTTTGATTCAAAGATTTTCGGCGGCAGGCCCATGGGGGGAAGGAAAAGGGGGCGGGCCTGTTCAAAGGCCCTCGGGAGGCCCTCCGGCGCTCTGGGAAGTGTTCTCAGCCGAAACGTTTCTGAAGGCGCCCGAACGTTTCTGTACTGTCCTCCGCAATGTCTGTTCGGGCGCTCTAAGCCTTCCTCGAAGACACCCGAGACGTTTCCGAGGGCGCGAGGGCCTCCGAGACGCCCCGCCGCCTCTGGGGAGGCCCGCCCCCTCGCCCTATATCCCCCCCGCGGCGCGCCGCCGAGGCCTGGGGTTTTGGGGTCGGCGACCACCTGTTCGTGGTGATGTTCAGATGCGACTCCTGGGAGGTCAAGTTCTGATTTTGCCCTGGTCCGAAATCCAGCTTAATGCGGCATGATCCTAGTTACCTAATCTGGCTTAGTCTCGCCTAATCCTGCCTAATCCGGTTTAATCCCGCCTTGTCCGAGGCCCACTCCAGCGTAACGGCCCCCCAAATGGGGCTTACTCCGCCTCAATCTTTACGACGAAAACCTCCCAGTAGTTGCCTCCCAAGTGATGCGCCCGAGTCATGCGGAGTCCGCGTGGGGGGCCCCCGGTGGCAGTGAGCGGCGGCCCCGCGCGCCCGGCCCGAAGCAGCGGCTGTTCTTCAGAGGAGCCAGGCGTTGGCAGCAGTGTGTTTCAAGAGGTTTCGGGGGCGGCCAGGAGGGGGGTGCTGGCTAGGGGGGGGTGGATATCATGACGTGGGCCATGATGGTTCCCCAGGTTTCATGGCACCTCTTCTTATTGAATCGCTTCGCTCATTCCGCCGGCCCGTGATATGGCATCGCTGGTTTTTGTCTGTGTGTTCGTTGCCCATGTTGCGCTCTTGGGGGCGGGTGTCGTTCGGACGCGTTGCGTGGGGAGTTTTGATGGTGAAGCAGTTCCCTGGGGGTCGTCTCTCGATGGGGCGAAATAGAGTCGTCGTCAAGATGCTTCTTTGGGGGGCCTCTTGGGGTCTGTTGAGAGGCCGTTCGGGGGCGCCTGGGAGACATGTTTGAAGCCTTCTGGGGCTTCTTTTGGGCCTCCTGGGAGTCTCCTGGGGCCTCTTGGCGACATCTTGGGGCCTCTTGGAGGCCTCTTGGGGCCTCTTTGGGACCTCCTGGGCGCCTTCTGGGACGGAGGGCTCCATTTTTGAGTTCTCTGTATCCCTCCTGAGTCCCTCTTGGGCCCGTCTTGGGGCCTCTTGGTCCGTCTTGGGCGGCACTTGGGCCGTCTTGAGGGCTCTCTTGGGTCGTTTCGGCGCCGTCTTGGAAGCTTCGTGGGCCGTCTTGGAGCGGTCTTGGGGGCCTCTTGGGCCGTCTTGGAGCGTCCGGAAGCCGAAAAAGCTAGAACACAAAAAGCATCGACAAAACCAATGAAAATCAACGATTTTGGCCTCTTGGGGCTCTCTTCGGAGGCCTCTTGGAAGGCTCTTGGGGCGTCTTGGAGGCCTCTTGGGCTGTCTTGGGGGCCTTTTGGGCCGTCTTGGGGTCATCTTCGGCGTCTTCGAGCGCTCTTTGGGCGTCTCGGGGGCCTCTTGGGCAGTCTTGGGGGCCTCTTGGGGCACTCTGAGCGCGCTCTGGGGAGCCTGAGAGGCCGCACCCAGAAGGAAAACCATCTCTGAGTAGACTTGGTCGGGCGGCGGTCGGGCGGCGGTCGGGGCGTTGGTCGGGGTACTTTTCGCCGGGGGACCCCCAGGGGCCGCCCCGCGCGCGCGAACTAGAAATACTGTTAATACTGTTAACCAGTTACCGGAGATCTTAGCACGCCCTGGCCCGTTGGGCCGGCGAATTTCAATACGTCCCTGGCCCCCCCCTTGGCCGCACACATGCCACCGGCCATGATTTGCGCCCGCCCTCTTGGACGCCACCCTCTTAGCCGCCCCGAAGATTTGCAGTGCTTCCAGGATATTCTAGATCCCATCGTGGTCACACGGGCTGCTAACACGGGGGCCGGCAGATGCTCCCAAATTTCTGGAACGTGCAGTGGGGGCCCATGCCAAGAACCACCCTGCTTGTCTCCAGGGTGCCCTGGGTTTCTTGGGGTTCGATGGTTTTGCTGTAGAATGCGTGACGTTCCCTCACCAAAAATCAAAGACGTCCTGGGGTCTCAGGGTTGGGGTTTCTTGTGGAAGGTTTCTTGTGGTCGGGCCCCTACTGTATCTTGAGCCAATCTCGTCTTTCTCGCCCGAGGATGCAGCAGCAGTCACTCGGACACAGCAGTTGCGAGCCGCACGCAGGCAACCAGCCGCCCCAGCTCGCCGAAGTGCCCGGCGACCCGGGCGCCCCGCGCGCTTCCGAGGCTGGGAGGCTCGGGCCGACTCGCCGATGCAGCGGCGATGCGGCTCGATCAGGAGCCCGATTCGGGTTGACCCAAAATGGGGTCCAGCGACAAGGGGGTGGTGCAATAGATTTGGTGCAATAGAGTGGTGGGGTTGCAATAGATTTGGGGCGTGCAATACATTCCGGGGCGCAATTGTATTGCTGGGTTTTCGCGTGCGAAACATTAGTTGCAATATAATGCAATACAATTCTCTGGCGCAGTACATTTGCAATACAATTGCCCCAAATCTATTGCACCCCCCCTTTTAGCTGGACCCCCTTGGGTCGCAAGGACCGATTATCTCAATGCCGAGGTCACCAAGGCCTCGGCGATGCGCCGGCGCTGTGGCGCCATCCTTCAGCCACGCGAAGAGGGGGGTAGGGGGAGGGGGGAGCACTTCTATGAAGGACCACTGCTTCTTAGAAGGCGCGGGCCTTCACTCTCTTTCTCCCTCTCTCTCTATATATATGTATGTATATGTATCTATATAGCCAGCGCCTTCCAAGAAGCAGCCTCCTTCTAAGAAGCCTTCCCCCCTCCCCCTACCCCCTTGTGCGCGCCGCTCCCGGAATAAAGCTCAGCGCGCGAAATAGTAAGCGGGCTGTTTCCCGGAAGAACAAGACAATTTCCCGGAGTTCCCTTTTGGCAGCCACGGGCTTGCCAGCCTTCGCCCGGTTTCTCTGACTCTCTCCACGCCGACGTCGCCGATGCCTCGGCGATGCACCAGCGCTGTGGCGCCATCCTCCGACCCTTGGGGAGCGGCAGCGCAGGGCTCCAGGCATGTTGATCCTTGCCTCCTCCTCCTCCTCCTCCTCCTCCTCCTCCTCTTCTTCTTCGGAAAACCGCCGCGAGCTCCTCGAATCAGGCACGGCGAGCGAAACGAAACGAACAGATTCAAGAGAATCACCGAGCCTCCCCTGACTCGTCTGGCCAGGCTCTGTAGCCTGGCCGGAGTTTGCCCGCGGCCAGGCACCTGATGACACGAGCCCCCACTTTCTCCGAGTCATGGGCTCGCAGGGCCTGGTCGGCTACTGTACTTTAACGGGGCCCTTTCCCCCTCGAGATCGGGCCCCGCAACAACCACAAACTTCGCACGAAAACGCACCCCTCGTTACATTCAGACGGTGAGACAAGTGCAAGGACTCGGGCCTACCCGCGCAGTCCCCCCCCAAACCATTCCATTTCCTGCCCACGTTCGGCCCTAGTCCCGCACTCCGTGCAGCGCCAACCCTTACGGCCGCGGGTCGGGGCACGGGCGGTCCTGCGGCGAGCCTCCTCCTCCTCCGCCAACACCTCCGCCCTCTTCCGCTCCTTCAGCTGAGCCACCCTGGCCG